TAGTGATAATAATAGTGTGTGTGTGTGTGTGTGTGTGTGTGTGTGTGTGTGTGTGTGTGTGTGTGTGTGTATTATCATAATCTATACATATATATATATATATATATATATATACAGATTGTGATAAAAAATGTATATATGTATATAAATTTTTTATCATAATCTGTATCATCGAAAAGCAAAGTGGGACACTGAAAGAAAAGTTCGATAGACCTAAACACGATTACGAAGTTTACGTGGGGCACAATATCGGTGGAAAACTGCCGGCGAAGAGAAAAATATTGTTTCACGTTCGTGGTTCGCGCGTAGTACGATACCTTCACATGCGATTTGTCTCGAGGCCGTAACGGCACGTTCGTGAATGATTCCAAGTTCGAGAGTTCGAAAGGTCTGTCGGAACTCGCAATTGTAGGGCCGCATGGTTTATTTATTCGGTAAGACTATGCTCACGTTCGCCGTCTCGTTCCCTTTTTCCCCCCTCGTGCCCACGTGCGCAGGCGGCTGTGCGAAACATCCCCTCACACGCGCGACGCTCGGCCCGATCGTGTGTGGCCTACAAGAATCGATTTGTCAGCGAATATTCCCCTTCGAATGCGTCCGAATAAGGGCCGGTGTGCCTCCCCGTCCATTCCTGACTTATTCACACACCGCAGTACTTTTTATTGTATCTATATCGACTCCGCCTTCACCAGGAAATTCTTCTGACGGCAGTATTACGATATGAATAAACGAAGAGGATTTTCTCGCCCAAGACCATCCTTTTCACCATCATGCGATAAAAGTTAGAGCCTACTTCTAAGGGAGGGGGGGGGGAGGGGGGGAAATATTTGCTCGCATCTCCATTATTTTTGACAAGACCGGTTATCCTTTCTCAACTTTTGATCGAAGATCTTTACGAACGTATCGTTTAATTCTTATTTACGCTGTTTTATTTTTTTTTTATTAAAGGGAAATTTCTCCCCTAAATGTGAGGTATTTTAATGTAACGTAATGTAACGTAATTTCATATCCTTTCAACAATTCGTTGAGAGACATTTCCGGTATCAAGATTTCATTTTGCGGACTATTCAAATTAACGTGATATCGAATCTATTAAACACCACGAATTTTTCGCAATTTTTCCCAATTCCATCGATCGTTAATTTCGTTCACGTGTGATTTTCACGCTATTGTGGCAATACAAGAATATCCGTCCCGGTATCATCGTCGCCGATTCCAATCGTCATTTCGACCTCGTCGCTATCCATAACTACCATCTGCGCGACACTGTCCTCGTTCTCGAAATGCGAAATTTCAGCTTCGCATCGCGCGTTGCTCTTATTGCTCCTTTTTCACATAGCACTCGCTCTCCATCGTTCGTCCTATCGATATGCATCGGCGGTGCGCTCGATAAAATCACCCCGATCGCTCATACAAAATCGAAATCGACGCGTCGCGCACCCTCCATTTCCGCGATTTTCTTCTGCTCGTCATAATCGGCCGATCGTCAATTCTACCGATACCAACGGCGAACGCAACGTTTGCTCTTTATTGTCCTATCGTTCAGTCCAATTACGGATGATGACTCGACTTGACGATCTATCCCCTTCGTTCTGCCTACCCTTTCTTGATCCCAATTTAAACGCGACTTTCCACAATTTTGCCGGAAACGCAAGGGGGTGAGCTTCCGCCTCGATAATCGTGTCTCGATTCAGCGCAGCGCCAACGCTCGTATTCATCGAACGGATATTCCCTCGTTTGTATCCTTACGACTTAATAAATTTCAATGCTTTCACGCGAGTGAGCAATCCGGATTTGTATGTGTACCTACGTGTGTTCCCGATATATGTGAAATATCGCTTCAATATTTCATCAGTTTTGCTTTGAAGACTATCCGCAAAAAGAACTATGCAAAAAAAATTAATAGTTACAGAAGAAAAATTGTGTAAAGCTTGTAGCGTTCCATCGTTTTGTCGTTCTAAGTACAATTTTCTTATCGGGAAAAGCGAGTTTTAGAAGCCGCATAGATCCTTGTTTTGTTCGATAATCAATCGAATAATTGAGTATGCAGGAAATGAGCGATGGGCTCTGTGTCGATCGAGTAAAGTAAGTTGCACGGATCACTCACTCGTGATTTGCATAATTCTCTAGATAAAGGAAAATTGCATATATGCTGATATAATAGACACGTCAGCTCAGGCCTCCAATCAATCGAAAATTTACGAAACCGCATATTCGTAAATTTCGTATATTACATACGCTGATTTGTATTGTGGATTTCAAGCGCTCTATATTGTAATTTACATGTTTCCACATAATTCCGTTCCATATAGGTATAACGTACAAAATATATAATACTAGGATAGATACATTAACATATACTATTCGCGATTGAGATTCCAATCGGTTGAAATTTTGCAAAACCGCATTTATTTTGAATTGCGTGTATTAATTCACGTTGCTGACCGATCCAGAGCTATATCGGTACCACGGATTGTATCGCCATCATTGTCCAGGATACAAAGAGATTTTCCGGTTGTGCCTGTATCGCGCGATAGCATATGATGTACTCGTTAACTCGTGCCATTGGCGAACGTGCCTCCGAACGCTATCGAAATTTTAGCGTGACCGCGGTTTATTTTGAAACACGCTATGTTAATTCGCGTTGCTGGGCGATTTGAGGCCGCATTGGTTGCACTACCGCGGTATTTTCAGCCTACCTTCGCGGCCCTATCCGGGTTAAGAGCGGCTTGCCGCAATTCCGGGGACAGCATCGAAATTCTTCCGGCCGGCTGGTTTCATCGCGCGCGATCGAGCAACCGAGAACGCAAAGCGTGGTTTATAGACCGGCCGGACGGCCGATGAAATTAAAATTAGAGGCGGCGTCGCTCTTGGTAGTCCGCAGCTTTTGTTTTCCCAAACAGTTTTTCCATTCGCTTGCACGCGTTTGCCCGTGGGCGCGATCGGGACTTCAATAAAATCAACCCTTACGCTAGACGCGTCGCGACTTCAATTCGCCCCGTGCGATCAGCATCTTCGAGGAGAGAACATCGTCCTTGCCACGCATACGTGCACGTAAGCGTCAATCCAAAGAATTATGTACGTAAATTCCAGACTGAATTAATCCTCATCTGTTCGCCGCCCGCAAAATTGCACTGGCCCGAAACCGAAGATTCCGAAGATTATAACGTCTCAGGCCCCAAAGTCAAGTCGCACAATTTCTTCAGTCGCGCGGCCGCATTCTCGCGATCGTCGAGAGTCGCGAAAAACGTACGCTCGAACGTCTCCACCTTTTCTCGGCCTCGAGCACGGTACATCGGCGCGTACGACGCGCAACAACTTCATAAGTCGCGCCGCGACGCGCGCGGGACCGCCCGAACCGGGTGAAAGTTCGCGTCGCGGATGGCCGATGCCGACTACGAAAGCTCGAGCGCGCGTCGTTTTACCTCCGTGCGGCGGTTTGTAGCACCTGAGCGCTTGCGCGCCTCGTGCCCGGCAGGTGCAATTGCATGCGCCGAGCCGCGTAGTCGGCGACGATCGTCGACGAGCGCCGAGACGCCTACGCTGAGCAGCGATTTATGCGCGATCATTACCCCCCCCCCCCCCCGCCCTCCCCGTTTCCTTCTGTTACAGTATTATTATTATTATTATTATTATTGTTATTATTATTATTATTATTATCATTATTATTACTCCGAGACGCGGTGCGTCGTTAAACAATCTGCTCTCTGATCGTGAAATTAGCAAGAACGTGCCTTCACAGAGTCATTTTCCCAGAAGAGAGTTTTAGACTGTACACGTACTAAGAAGAAATTTTATCTCTTGTCAGCATTGTTACGCTTCAGATCTTATCTCTCAATTACAATTGTTAAAGTGAGATAAATAATAGGTAAATGTATTAATTTATAATAATAATTGGTATTTTATGATAAAAGATCGGTTTGCTCGTTTTAAAATGAGTACAGACACATTTTTTAATGATTATTTAGACGATATGAGAATACATGTAAAATTAATAATGCAATTTTTAAATTTAAGATTAAATAAAAAGAGATATTAAAATAACACAGTTAAAAAAATTCTACAGACTACAAAAGAAAAATGTGTAAGAAGATTGCGATTACTATTGATATTACGTATAAAGAGGTATAAAATTCCATCCTGAATTCCGGATTGGCGTTTGTGCTTTGTGCATATCTCAAGAAATACCATTCCAGATACGAGACACGATACTTAAAAAAAAAAATCTTATAAGAAAATATTGTAAGACTTAGATCGACGTACATACGCTGTTCCATCGGTTTTTCCAGATTTAAATTTAGGTTTAATTGCGATTCAAGAGTTTCGCGCGATGTGCATATATTCCGGGGAATAATTTTAAAATATCTGAAGCTTCGAAAGAGAAATTACGAGTTCGCACGTACACTATACACAGCAGTAGTACGGAAATACGACACGAATGAATTATCTCGCATCGATAAATCATGAAAAGTTGGAGGTCGCGACCAGGGAGATGTTGAGGATCGTTATCCGCGCCTATCTACGCGAAGGCGCCGTCATGATACTGCTTCTCGATGATTATGGGGTGTCTAAAAAACGAGGGCACTTATACGTACACTTGTCAGATCAATAGGGAAACGTACCAATCGTGGTTATCGACGGAATCGGCGGAACAATAATTCTTCTCGGCCGCTTTTCAAGATATATTTCCCGCGGGTAATTTACGTCGCTTTTCAGGCGCCGATTTTCGAGTTGCCAACCATCTTCGGGTTGCCAAACGATAGTATTCGCGTACTGTTAAACCCATCGTACTCTCGTTCCCGTTAGATCGATACTCGCTTGGCGAATCACGAGCGGGAAGACCGAACTCGCGCTATGCCAAAGTTTGCGAAGACGAAGGCGGCTGCCTTCGCGGAACGCGCGCGTCCACGACGCGGATAATTCTATTGTTGCTTTGGCGAACGTGCAACTTGTACGTGACCCCGAAGTCACGTAAATCCAGTTTCGCGCCGGGAGTCTCGCGCGCGCGCGGCATTATTCGTGTTCGACTAATTGCCCGAACAATCGCGAACGACCGGGCACCCGCGCGCGTTCAATTGCGCACCGATTTGCTGATTTGTTTGCGCCGGCTATTTAATGCATTGACAACCGTCCGTTTAATACACAATGTGCGATCGTATAGATAAATAATTATCTATAATTAATCTTTTTATCTCTCTGTCTTGCTCTCTCGTTCTTTCCCTCTTCCTTTTTCATTCAATAACTATTTATCTAACTAACAGACAGTAAATACTAAAAATTGTATGACTAGTGAAAATATGTGGTAATCGTTACTTATATAGTAATAATCCGTGAACCGACCAGAATATTACGTAATCACGAAGCTTGTATCAGCTGACCCGTTCACTTGCCAGCCGCAACAGAAGGCGGTTAGTTTCCATACAGATCCGGTCCTGAGCGAAGAAGAAACCGCAAGAGGTTGAAACTAATTTTACCCTGTCTCTCTCTCTCTCTCTCTCCTTGCAGCCAGTATCCGCTGGAGAGCACGTTCGCTCCACTTTGCCGGTACGAAAGAACGATGCCCGGCGATGGCGGACAGCGAGAAAATATCGCGGTAGAGACTTGCGTAATGCACCGCGCAGGTGCATATCCGGGGTAGCCCGCATATTTGCGTACGGCGGGATGATAATCTCTTTTCATTTGCGTCCGGGAACGTATATACGGTCGCCGTCGTCTCCCCCGGAATTTGCTGAATTTCTTCTTTCCGGTCGACTTCGCCCCGAGGCCGCAAACCGAAATAGATATAACGGAACGCGCGTTCCGCGCGCGTTACGATAACGGGTAACGGTAACCGTTAAGCGTTCACGCCCGCGATACGCTTCATCTCGGGCCGGCGAACAGCGCGTGCATACTCGAGATGAAACGAAATTCCGAGGGAGGCGGGATCAAAGGGCAAGGTGCCTCCGCATCGTTTCGTCTTCGCCTCTGTTACTCGATATTGCGCCGCGGGGCGTTTTCGACGAAATCAAGACGCCAGGTTAACGCTAAAGCAGAACGGGACGTGTAATCTTTTCTTTGTAAATCTCTACATTGTACTCTCATCTGCGTTTTTCATTATGAAAACTGCGTGCATAATTTGGCTATTCCGCGCTACATTATTATCTTTAAAGTCCCAATGATTAATTGAGACAGATAAACCCCCGAGAGAGGAACGTATCCTTTATTATAATTTTAATAAATGCAACAGTTATGAATTACTCGCTTAGAAAAATATAATTTATAATGCAATATCGCGTGAGAAAGACCGCTGTTGGTATTATACATTTGCAGTTTATCTTAATCTTATTTTTATCGTTAGCATCTCCGCGGAGCATCTCGATGTTGAGAGAGATAAATAAGACAACAAATTACTCGTCGCAAGATAAACGCTATCTCTTTCGTACGTAACGATCGCATTTTATAGAAATCCGTTTCCGCTTACTAAGCTCTCCTTTGTAATACTTATTGCCGCACAAGCGCAAACTCGTGCTCGGTCGTTCCTCTTTAGTCGGCAGTTCGGTATAATCGGGAGCGTTTTACTTTGACAGCTCGTAGAAACCAAATCAAATAATTTACTCCGTCGCACGGTTATTAACACAGAAATAAATGCGTAATCGGTTTATGTGACCCCTTCAAGACCAGAGGAGAACCAATTAAATCTTTGATTTCCGCATTTGAGAATCGGCATTCACGGCTGAATGCCTTTGCATCCATTTCTTACGCAAGGAAATCGATACAAAAACAAAACTAATTACTTTGCAATTGTACGAAATTTTTCAATAATTCATAAATACATGGTAAATTATTCATTTGTCGCAGAACATTATGATACAAACAAATAAAGACAAAAATATTATTGTTACTATTATTATTATAATGCCTATGTTATTAAAAATATCTATAGAAAAATATAAAATGTACTACATTTTTTATTTTATTATAATATACCACGGAATAATTAACGCCAAAAGTGAACCATAAAATTGTTTCGTATTCTGACGAAAAAACGGATAACGAACAAAAAATAAGCGCAGAAAATGCATAAAAACTTTTCATCTAAAAATAACGTCATTGATCTAAAAAACACATCCAATGTCATACAGTATATTATTAGAAGAAAGAAGAATAAAAGGAATAATATAATCATATCAGTTAAACTTCTTCAACTTTTTTGATTAATTGATTATAATTAGCCATTTGATTGCACAAGTGATGCTTTTTTTGAAAAAGCGCAAATAAAAAAATACGATATCGCATAATGCGAATGACTACTTAGCAACAAAGTAGTAGCAAGTTGCTGTACACAGGCAACTTTCAGGAGTTTTTTCGTACGATGTATTGCGACCGTCGGCGCGTCAACCGCCTGCATACTAACTCGTACTACTTAACCCTGAATAAACAGGCGCGCTCTAAGCATTCTGCGCGAAGATGGTATTGACCATCCTTTTTCCAGTTTGTCCCCCACGAATCACCCCCGTTGTAGGTACATTTCGTCGCACTACTGCTTCCAGAGCAATCCGACCGTCTCGGATTCAAGTAACGGCAGCCAGCTGCGGGATGGGATGGTAAATGGGACAGTAGAAGCGGCACGGTGGAACAAGACAGACACCGTAGATCCTACGACCTTTCCCGGCTACGGAGTTAATATTTATCGAGGCTGTCTGTAATTTTCTCGAGACTATCCGAGACTACCGCGAACCGCCGACGCGACGCGACGCGACACGATGCGACGCGACCCGACTTGGTGGAAACGAAGGAAAAATAATTAAAATGGTCGGGACACTTGACGGGACATTAGTGTGTATTTGATCGCTCGTGTGTATGTGTCGCAAGTCGGTGTGCGGATGCTCCTTTCTCGGCGAGATAGGGAGATATCGAGAGATCATTCAGAATTCTGTATTTTATTTCGCAATAATGCAATTAAATTCTGTAAAAAAAACACACATACACACATCTTCCTCCTTCTTTTTAATTAGTTAAATTTAATAAAATAGACAAAGATCTATTTAATTTGCGTATAGTGTATGCATGACACAGAGGGAAACATTGAGATACAATCGCATTGTCCACTTTACAAAGTTTTTATTTAAACTTGGAAATGATATATATAATAATCAGAGATATCTTTTTTTTATTTACAATACAAGATGTATTTGCGCGTGATCACACATGTTGGGTTATGATTTCTGGGTCACCAACTGAACGTATGTCGTGGAAGAATAACACGCTTTGCTGATATAGAACATATCTCCATATGATGCACAGGCAAACCACATATTTCTTTACGTGGCAGCTCGATCTACCAGTTTTATGTTTTCTTTCATAAAAACAGCTTGCTTCCTTTCGCGCGAGAGAAAGTTCAAGAAACGAGCTGTCGTCGGTAACCAGAC